TTTTTCTTTTTCTTTTTCTTAAAAGATCGAAAGGATAAAGATCGTTCGTAAAATAGAACTTAAAATTAAAAATTTTAAATCTCTAGTTTTAAATAAATAATTTTCAAATTTTAAAGTCGAAAGAGAAAAAATAGTTAATAGAAAAAAGTATTAATTGGAAAAAAAAAGTTAAGGGCTCAGACGGGAATCGAACCCGTGGCCTCTCGCACCCAAAGCGAGAATCATACCACTAGACCACTGAGCCATCCCATGTGAAAGTTATGCTTAGAATTCAATGTCTTTCGATCTTCACATATATCTAAGTATATCTCGAAAGCATTGTCTATGACCAAAATCTCAAATCATGACATTTTTATTAACGAGACGTAATAACCGAGATCAATCTCAAATATTTCCAATCCAGATTGTTGCCTTGAAAACCGTCCTTGGCCTTCAAAATTTTTAATCATAATAAAATTAATTTAGTTTTTGATTACAGACAAGACTTTATAAGTGCTATTAAATGCCAGGCAATTTCCCGTCCTAAAATTGATTTGTCTGTCATCAACAGGCGTAAAAAAAGAGGCGATGCAATTATTTTAAAACTCGCTCGAATGCAGTGCACTCAGCGAAAAAAGATATAAACGCCTTTTTCGCGTGAATGAGAATCGCCGTAAAGTATGTTACCGTAGTTGTAGACATCGTAGTTTTAACTATCCGTCGTGATTGTATGAATGAATGAGAACCTCTATTTAAGGTATTCCTTCAGTAACAAAAGTACTGCTATCAACGGGAGCCCTATAAATTATAATAAATAAATAAATGGATAAATAAATAAATAAATAAAATTATTATTATAATTAGTGGAAGGCATTGGGAAGCCATTTTAATGTCACGGCATGTCATACCGTTTCCATATGTACGTTTCTCGTATGGAAATCACTCTAGTCTTGCAGAACAGYACACAAATAGGTTGTTTCGTGTGGTTCGCGGGTTTTCTCAACGAAATTTCATAGATCTAAGAACAATTTGTAGCTATAAGCTAGACGTCCTTGTTATGACAGTTTTAATTTTTTGGCTTAGTAAAGAAAAGTGAAGATTGAYTTGACCGCAATCACGGTTTAAAAAATTGAGTGACATTTTGTGGAAATAGCGGAAAATGCTCGAAAATTGTGATTTCCAGCAGACGAAGCCGTTCAAATATCGTACCCACAGCCTGAGCTTGCGCAGTAAGGAATAAAGCCTTAAATCGGGAGGATGGAAAGCACTGCGTAAATTTTCGCGGGAAGCGCGTGAAGCGTGATTAAACCTCCTTTTTACAACCCTGCAGCTAATCGGAATCAAGGTCTCGTATATTTTGTTCTCAACCGTCCATATTGATACTAAACAATCAAAGGAAGTCAAGACAATATCAACAAAATCTAAATAATATGGATACAAATAAGCCGCACAAATCTGTTTTATCTCATGTTTACATTTTTAATTCTCCAATCTCCTGATTAATCTCGGCATGGGTCTTGTAGTCTATTTGTTTGATGATGGCTTGGTGTCGCAAACGCCTTGATCATCGTAAATCAGGTCCGGAAACTAGAAGTTGTTGTTAGAAATCACTGACAATACTTTATGGTTGTTATTATCATGACTACTACTTTTATCGTCCTTTTGTAAATTCTCTCAAATTAATGCTACGCGAAATTTATAGTTTGTGGAGTAAAATATTTGGGAAAGAGAGTCCTGAATAGTGTTTCTAATCCAATTCCACCCCAGCCCTCTTTTTAACCAAATCCCTAGTCCTAGCCTCTTTTACTTCGACAAAGGACTAGCGTCCGAAAAGTCAGTAGGTTTTTTCATCTTTTCACGGTGTATAATTTACCTTTTTATCATTACTAGTCCTAGCCTATGTTTTGCTCAAATCTCAATCCTATTTTTTGATTGTTGTTTTGTTTGTGAATCCCGTTCCCAGTGCATAAAATCTCGTTTTCCCGCTCAAAAATGCAAATCCCAGCTCCCATTTACCCCTTCAGGACCCTCAGGAAACAGTGCGCGCGCTAACGTTTCTCGCGATGACTCAGTGACTCAGTTCCCTCAGCAGGCAATCAATTTTCTTAAGATATGGTTCAAAATAGTATGAGTATTTTTGGTAATCAAGTGAAGTATTAAACGATAATGATGAAAAGGTAAATTATACACCGTGAAAAGATGAAAAAACTTACTGACGTTTCGGACGCTAGTCCTTCGTCGGAGTAAAAGAGAAAGAAGTGGAAAATCTATACACTCCTTTCTACCAATTCTTTCTCTTTTACTCCGACGAAGGACTAGCGTCCGAAACGTCAGTAAGTTTTTTCATCTTTTCACGGTGTATAATTTACCTTTTCATCATTACTGTTTCATTAGAAACACCGACGCAGCTCACACTAGTTTTTAGCTAGTCATATCTTTTTATTAAACGATATTGAACCATTGGTAATTACTGAGCAACACCAGAAAACAGCACTTAATTTTCGAACTTTAACAGGTGTCCACTTGGATATTTATATTTGATATTTGTGCGAGAACGCCAAAACAAAATTGCTGTTTTTAACAGCTTTTATTGATATTTTGGAGTCTTCAAATTACTCGCTGCAGCTTTTCAGCCAAGCATTAGCCGAGTATTACCCGGCATGTTGATCATTATGTTCTCCAAAATTCTGTATATCAGAAAATCTGAATTCCTTTCCAAAAATATGGGAAACGCAATCTAATATCCCGATTGTAGTTGTAGAAATGTAGTTTTGATACCATATATTGAATCTAGAAATTTTGTTTTCAAGTAATGAAAGAGCTAGAAGTTTGAAAATTAAGATTCATATCAATTTCGTTGGCAAAATAACTCTTGATTTTAATTAGAGTGGCAGTTTTCTATTATATTTTGATTTCGTTCTACATCTTTCTAGCTTTTGTTCTATGTTTCCGCTATGCCTTTCATAATCACTTTGTAGTCATTTCCATCTCCCCCTTGGCTTGCTTCCTTTCTTTTGTCTTCCTTTCTTTCCCTTTCTTTTTTATCTTGTTCTTTTTGCCTTTTTGTTTCGGTGTACGCCCGTCTTATCTTTCTTTGGAGTAATTGTGTTTTCCCTGTAGTCACTCGTGTTTTTGTTAGCTCCATTCATCCTTCTCTTTTGTCTTTTTATCTTTCTGGCTTAGCCTTTCTTTTTATATATAATGTCATTTCTTTCTTTCTCTCTTTCTTTCTTTCTTTCTCCCTTTCTTTCTCTCTCTCTCTCCCTCCCTCCCTCTCTCTCTCTCTTCCTTCCTTCCTTCCTTCCTTCCTTTCTTTCTCAATATAAATAAGCTCCTAATCAACCACTATTCACTTTCCCCATTCACTTTGAAAGCTAGTTTTCTGTTCTCTCATAAGTTTGTCATTTATTGAACTTTTCAACTTGAAATCCTTGTCAACTGAGCAAAGAAAAAGGCCAATCTCTCACAGAGCTTTTCATCATCAACACAAAAAACCACCTGCAATTCCCGATAAGACTTCATACAATATAGGCTACTTTGTATTGACTACCCCATTCACCCATTCACCTCATTTCCTCAAAACACTCCTCAATTTACCAAAACCACTACAAGAGCAGATTTCATATCAGTGGGAAACGAACAGCATCAAGACACTTAAATGGCTTCCAGTATAAGCCAATCAAATTCACGCGAAATTTACATCGTTTAATCACATTGAAACAATTTAAAATATTCACGTGCATTTCCCATTCACGAGAAATTTCCTCTGCAATTAAAAAAAAAAGTGA